TGCTTGGCGCCCAGCAGATGCAGAGAAGCCGCACTGAACCCACCGAACCAAACCAGAACAGGAGCAGAACCAGACCTCCAGACCCATCGGTGACTCTTGAAAGCTGGTAGCCCGCCCACGTGGACCTCCGAGCAGACGCGTGCGGCCAATGATCCAGTGATCCATCTGAAGCTTAATGGGACGTTTTTGATCTCTTTCAACTGGCCAATGAGAACATCTGAGCGGGGACGTTGTTAAGTAAAATTTAGTAGCTACATTTAAGTATGTTGTTAAAATGAGTATGTTTGTGAGTTTAGAACACTGATTGTGGTGCTGCAGGGTACGTCTGCAGAAACCGAACAAAGTCGGACCGGAAACAAACCGAGCTGCTCCTGTTCTGCAGAGCCTGGTAAGTACAATTTAGTAGCTACATATACTGTACTGTATGTTGTTAAAATAACGTAGGTTTAAAAGTTTAGATTAGAACATTGCAAGAGTGTGGGAAGGGCTTCTAAAGCCTTAGAATATATACAGTATAAATGCTAAAGGGGGTGCTGGAATCTAACACCTGTGATAAATGAGGGACTACTATATTGTATGGCAACTTGTCCTGAGCCTGGTTCTGCTAAAGGTTTCTTCCTCATGAGGGAGTTTTTCCTTTCCACTGTCACCTTCATGCTTGCTCAAGATGAGAGCTCTGCAATGGAGTTAAACTCAAAGCAGTTTGCTCCTCAGATAAATAGTGTTAAATTATTATAACATATATGAATGTTTCTGTTCAATGCCCTGAGATGACTTCTGTTGTGACTTGGGCAGGGCTTAATTTGTAAACCAGTTTATGCCGGAACACAAATAGCTGGCGGTCCTCCCCCAGAAAATTTGGACTAAGAAACGCCATTTCCTGCATTTTGGTGTATATTAACGGGTTGTTAAACATCTATGCTTACCTACATAAGTAAACACAGTGTTTCCCCTATCATTATACAAGCGGGGCGCCCCGCCCCATCAACAGAACCGAGCACCCCGTCTACTGACGCCCCCCACCCCCACCCACCTGTCGGCACTGACGTAACGCTAAACTAGCAGCTCGCAATGCTAAAGGCAGCCACTTCTCTCATGCTGAGCCCTCACGCTGAACGCACCCCCAAAACTGAAACTGTCAGTACAAACAGCACACGGCTGAGATGTGTCTCTGTCTATCTCCTCTCACACACCCTGGTCTAAAACTGTAAAACTATCAGTGCAAACAGCGCACGGCTGTCTCTGTGCCCCCCCCCCCCC